TAAAATGGGTGCTTGCTATATTAGGCATCACTTAAAACTTAAAAGCGCAGTTACTATTGAAGCTACTATTCAAATTAAGAAGCAGAATTTATGCAAGCACGGCCCCTAATGCATAGTTAAGCTTTTAATCAGTTAAAAATTATTCACTCGTTCAGCAGGCCTTTTTCTAGGTGACCAATTAAATGGATGGTCCAATATGATATAATGATAATAATAATGCATGAAATGAAAAATTCAATGGTAAAAGTTCTGGTTAAATAATTATCATCATCAACATAACAATAATAACATAATATCAATAATATAGCTGTGATTAATGCAAGGAACCAAAATTCAATGGCAAAAAACTTAGTTATAATTTATTTGAATTGACCCAAATTTGTTTGCGTACATACTTTAGCATTTATGACCAGTTATAGTTAAATTTTGGTCAGAGTAGAGGAAGTTATACGGTTATGAAATTGTCTGGCTACCATGAACCCACCGATATATATATAAAAAGGGAAAAATTCTATTTTTATGTTTACGACTTCATACATGTAGAAAGAAAAATGACATCATATGAGAAAGTGTCATAGTGGTAAAATAAAAATAATTATCTATCAATGGTCATGTTTAAGTCAAATTTTATTAATGAAAGTAAAAAATGTGATGATAGTATGATAAATAGGTGAATATATCGTGATCAAATATATGCATTTGACAATTCATTAAGGCTCCGTTGGTCTTGAGAGATTTGAAATCCCTTAATTTTTGAAATATAAATTTACTTGCACACTCCTTGAATATGGATGTGTTGAAATTATTATAAATAAATTGTCTAGCTCGCACCGATGGTGTTGACTCGCGGTGGTGATGAACCTAAATGATCGCGGACGGCGTGGTCGTCAACGGTGATAAACAGTGGATTTCAAATGACTAGGTTTGAGGAGTCATTTCAAATCTTTCAAAATAATAACTAAAAAACATCTAACATGAATTTGAAATCCTCCAATTTTCATTATCATCCCAACATGCATGAAGATTTGAAATCCCTCAGTAAATCCTTCAATCTCTATATATATAAAGAGGAGCAACAAAGCATTAAATTATATTATCATGCATTAAATTTTATTCTCTCTCCAAAATTTTTAACATTCAATTTCATTTTTAAGTTACAAAATAACTTGTTTGAATGCCATAAATTATGAGCATAAACCAATCAAGAGAGTTACAAAATTGTACTCAAATTTTAAGTAACACCCACTCATGAAAATGACCGAGTGTATTAGCATAAAAAAAATGATTGTAACGGCTCTTCCATAGCAATTACTTGATCAAAATCAATTTTGAGAATTATTTTCTTAATTCATATTTTTTTTTCATGAATTAAATTATAATTTATTTTTGTTTTTATTTATATTGTTATCTTTTTAAAGTATTCTTCTATGTGCAAATGCACAGGTTGATTACTAGTATATATAATTACTAGCTAATAGCATTTAAGAAAACCTATTTAATAAAACTTCTAAAATTTTCCCTCCATTTTCGGTTACAAAATTTCTCATTAATATTTTTTACTTCTCACATTAATACATTCTATTGAGTGTAATCATGTATTTTTCTATTATATTATATAATAATTAATGCTAATACCAACTAATAATAATTCACAATAAATATAAATTGCATAATTATAAATAATTGTTTCAAGTTATTTATTTTAACATCAATATTATCTTTTTCTTTTGTATCTCATGAAAAAATTTCTTTAAAAACAACTAGTAAATTGTTTTAATAGCATATTCAAACAACTTTAGAATCTTATAAACAATTGTTTTTGTAATAGTAATAATAATAATAATAATAATAATAATAATCAAACTGCTATTATCTAATGATAATTAATAATTGTTCATAATAATAAACAATCATTAATTTATTTTTCCTAATGATTAAATTTTAAAAATGTAATATGTTCATTATCTAAAATTGTAATATTAAATTCTCAAATATTACTTATTATATTTTATGTACATCTGTGCAGGTGCACAGAATATTTACTTGTTCAAAGTTAACCTAAAGGTATATTAGTCATTACAACAATTCCAACTCACTTGGGGCCCCACCCCACTTCAACCCAACCCACCCATCTCTCTCTCTCTCTCTCTCTCTCTCTCTCTCTCTCACACACACACACACACGAAGTCACCACCACCCACCAGCAGTCGCCGACTCTCGCCCGTTACCACCAAACTGCCGCCGCCAGCGGCCCCACCGGTCCCGTTGCCACTGCCACCGCCACCTGCCTCGCTGCTGTCTCAATCTGCCACCGTCACCAACGCCTACCAATTTCGCCACCCACGAACAGACCCACCACTACCATAGCCACATCGCCGCCAATAGCCACCGTCTGCAGTTTTACACCACCGGCTTTCAGCTCCTCCGCAATGTGTGACTTGTCGGCGCTTCCGCCGTCGTGCGAGTTTATATTCTGGAAGACTCGATTCGGCCGTGCGACTTTGCATGGATGACTCTGGTGGCCCTCGATCCACTGTTCCACTTCCACAGACACTATAAGTCATTAGTTAAATATACAATTTATAAAAAAACCTAATAAATGCAGAATATTGATAAATAAATTGTACAATATGTTTATGGATATGCACATTAAAATTTTGAGAATTTTATTATATTTCACTTTAATTGATGAGTTAAAGATGTAAATTATTACAAATTTAATAATTGCGCAATACTGTTTAGTGCGATGCCCAACAACAATAAATAACGTGCACAATAGCATGTGTGTATATGTACATTAAAAATTAAAAAAATACTAAAATGTCAACGCGCTATATAATGCACAATATCGTTCATTGTTGATGTTGAAATTTTGATATTTTTATTTAATAATATTTTTAGGACGAAATAAATGAAATTTCAATAGTGACATTAGATAACACTTTATTCTAAATTTTTTATACTATTTATTTAAAATTAGTAATTCCATTTTTTTTCAGCTCATTAAAAAGGTTTTCATTAAAATTAGTTAATTATTTTTCACGGCATAGCCATCCCTTAAAATTCCATATAAAATTGCTATAATACTAATTTCAATATTGTTTTATCAAATTAATTGGTCATAATTAGTCAACATTGCAAAAATAATGTTGTTGCAATTATTATGTAACATAAATAGTTTATATTTATATCATTTATTTTTATTAATGATAAAATGTATAAAATATATTATGCTCATTATCTAACTTATAAATTTAAAATATTACTTAACTTGTAATTTTTAATATTATATATACACTTATGTAACATGCATACATATATATACGTGTGTGTATGTGCAGAAGGTCGGATATACTAGTTCTAAAAGAAATATGAGAAAATATTAATGAGTTAATAATAAATTAGGACTGGATATCATTAATTAATTTTGACCCAATTATACATAGTTTCATGAATTTTACTATGAGGAATTGAAAGAACAAGCCAATGTAACCTGATGATTAGTTGAAGATTAATCCATAAACTAAAAGTAAAAACCCAGCATAACTAGTAAGAACTTTATTATTTATGTGCGTGTGGCATAATATGAAATGCCGAACTATATTCTTTAAACCCTTTGTACCAAATCCAAGTAATATATTACTTGAATCTAGATGGACGACTCATTTAATAAAGTTCATAAATTAAATTAGAATGATAACTTTATCTGTTTCTGTTCAATTTTATTTCAGAATCTAACTTGTTTTAATACCTCATCGGCATTAATAAATAACTAAATAAATAAAAGCAATGAGTTTCATATAATTCAAAAATTAGATAATATAAGATAAATAAAAAAAAAAAGACCAAGAGCCCGGATGTTAAGCGAGGTTGCTCCAGACATATTTTCCGCTTGCGCAGGAGCCACCCAANTGGACGATAGTATTGTTCATTAAAAAACTTATCTGATAATGTTTTACAGTAAGATGGTAATATAGATATATAGTTATCATTTTTTATTTTATTTTATTGGGTACAGTCCAAATAATCCAAAAAATATATACTAGAAACACTCCACGCATGACAATTGTTGCAATGATAAAAAACATGCAACATATAATTATAAAAATAGATGATACGATTGGCAATATATAAGGCGCAACAAGACTCGAAACATAATATGAAAAACACAAATATAAAATTTAATACCATACTTATTATGATCAAATCAAATAGATAATACAAATATACAATAATTAAACATGTTCATAATACATTAAGCGTAAAGCCAATTGAAATCAAGTTGAGGACTGCTTGTCGAGAAATGAACATCCAATCACTTGAACTATAGTCGCATAATTTTGAAAACATCAATAAAATGATATGTGCAGATTTAAGAATATGAATGTTTTTTGGTTTACAAAGACTGCATTAATAGTGCTCGACAATGTTAATGATCCCGAATGATTAATCGATTTTAAATTTTTAATCAAATGGTTTGGTTACTGTGCATACTTAGCATCACTAACTATTCATTTTCAAAATAGTACAATTATGAACTTTGGTTATATGATGCACTGTGTACCGTTAACATATTATTAAGCTTTTATTTATTTATTTATTTTTTTTTTTGTTGGCACTACATTAAAAAAATTAATTCATCTGTCGCCCAATTTTCTACTTTCAAATTTTCACACCTTATGTAAAGGTAAAGAAAAGCAAATTAAAAAAAGAAAAGTGAATAAACTTAGGAAAAAATGGAAGCTCATCACGATTTACCCATTTGACGCCGAATGGCAGAGAGAACCGCCTATTTCACCCCATTATATTCCTCCACCTGTCACCCCTCTCTCCTATCTTTCTCTCTCTACTCTACTAAATTTGTTTTTAGGTACCTATACATGTACCTATAATTTAATTTCTTAATTTATTAAGGGTTTAAACTTAAATTTAGTCTTTCTTTTATAAAGTATATGAACACAAAACCCTCACTTGTTTTTTTTATTTACTTATCACTTGACGTGTCTGCTTGGTTGGGTTTCTTCAACTTTGCATGTGCCTTCTCATAATCTCCTTCAACCTGAAGACTTTCTAATAAATACCCAAATTAATCACCACTTTTTATCAAGGGTTCTTGTTGCTTTCTATTTTTCATTTTACTTTTAAAGAAGGATAGAGAAAACCCACAAGGATTGTTCTTTGAGGATGGTTGGATAAATAAGGTAAAAACGAAAACAAAAGAAAAAACCCATCTTGATGCTTTATTTTTCAGATTTTGACTTATATATATATGCTGTGTGCATGTCTCTTTGTTTTCCAGGCCTAGGTGGATATTGAGGAACATATTTTGAGAAGTAGTACCCAGCGTTGTAACAGTTGTACGTTGTTAGTTTGGAGAAAAAAGAGATCTACCAAGATTAAGAAAAAATGGCACCAGAAAATGATTGGCTTTCATTTTCATTGTCTTCAATGGAGATGTTGAATCCATCGTCTCAGCCTGCTGATTCCCAACATTTCTACTCTTTTGCCGATAATTTTTATGCAAACGGTAAATAATAAAATTACTAAAAAAAATTCAAAACACTATAATTATTATTATTATTATTGCATATAAATTACAGCTTTAATTTAGTGATTTATTGTGCAGATATATGTGTAGCTTTGGCTACGCCATCAGCTTTTTTGGAGTTTCTTGTGTGTGTTGAATTAGTTATATAAACAAAAAAGAAATTGCACAAATTGCGAACTACATCCATATTTCCGTTTGGATTTTTTTGGCTGAGCAAAACAAGTTTGAAAAAAAGCTGAAAAGGACAAGTAATTGCACCCGTGTATTACTATTTTCCGTTACTTCATAGTTGTCATCAAGATTTTCAACTACATATATAATATATCAATTGTATTATTTATATAATTATATATATCCCATTTCTTGCTTATTGCAATCATTTTTTTTTAACTATATTCATATCCCATTCATTTTCTTTTCCTGTCATTTTTTCCCCCACCGTTTGAGAGATTCAACTTTTNGCCAAAAATCTGAAGCCATGTACGCAGAAGCCGAAAACCAAGACCAGCTTAAAGAAGAACCAAACAGCTACTCCATTCTCACCGGCTACATGCAGCCGCCGCCCAAGCTGGAGGACTTTTTCGCGGTGGCCGGCGGCGGCGACTCGGTGGAGGCCCACGACGACTCGTCCCTGACTCACATCTACGACCCGGTCCACCACGGCCAGGCTGCAGCCTACTACGAGCACCAGGACCTGAAGGCCTTTGCCGGATTTCAAGCTTTTTCGGCCAACTCGGGCTCAGAGGTGGATGACTCGGGGTTCGGGGGCCAGACTCAGTCGCCGGTTGAGTCGGGGACCGAGTTGGTGGCCTACCCTCAGACTCAGTGTACCGTTAACGTTAATATGAGTGCAAATAATGGTTTGACTCTTGGGGTGAATAATGACTTGGTCACTGAGAATAATTATAATAATCGTAATCTTAATAACAACAACAAGAACACAACCATTGTTTGTGCTGATGATGAAAACTCGCCGAGTTGCAAGAAAGTTGCTGATACCTTTGGGCAAAGAACTTCCATTTACAGAGGGGTAACTAGGTAAAATTTCGCTTTTATTTTATTTTATTTTTTCTGTTTACTTTTGAATTTTGATTTGATTGAATTAACTTGCTCTTATACTTGCATGGCTAGCTAATGGATTTTGTTCAAAATGTGAATTTCTTTTTTCCATTAAATGGTGACTGTTAGAAAATTTTTCTTTTTTTTTTGGTTCCATTTTCTTGCATTTTATCTTTTAAGTTACTTTTAATTACAAATTCTAGTGTGATGTGGCCTAATTTTAGGTTGGGTTGACCTATATATATTCTTTTAACAAAAATTGTTATTCTATAAAATGTCATATTTTGTTTATATGATTTTTTTAGACTGATATTTCAATATATAAATCTGTATATTTGTAGATGAAATACGATTATGTGACGGTTTGTAGCTTGTTGATTTTTAATTGGCGATGGTGTTGGTTAATGGGACGCAATTTTCAAAATTAGTGATCAATTTACTTTCTCTTACTGCATATGTAGGAAGTTTATATCCAATAATCTCTTTAATTACCTTTTAAATTTAAGAAAAAAAATAAATTAAATGAGTATTTTTATTCCAATCTTCAATCATATTTGTACAAATGAGTATTTTGATTTGTACTAATGATTTAAAATTTATTTATTTATATTGTTGGTGATTTGATGTAGGCATAGATGGACAGGCAGATATGAAGCGCATCTATGGGATAATAGCTGTAGAAGGGAGGGCCAAGCAAGGAAAGGGCGTCAAGGTACAACTCCTATTTTTCACTTTCAATTTTTCAGGCTCTGTAAAGTGGTACTGTCTTCAGAAATTAATATATTTTAATCTAAACCAATGGTAAAAAAAGAAAAATAAAAAGGTAAAATAGTTAAAAGAGAAGCTATATGTGCAATTCCAATCAGGCTTTTATGATGATTGATTGACTGGAATTTGTAGAGACAGTATTTGATTAGATCCTGATATATATTTTCTTCCAAATCTTTCACTGATTTGATCATGTTGGCCGCCATTTTTATTCATGTCAATTTTTCTATAAATAAGACCATGTTTTAGTTTTTGCCCTAGACTGTTTATTATTTGCCCCCTAATTTTTCGCTAGGTCCGTAGGTTAAAATTTATAGACCGTTGAGTTATTGAATTTTTGTCCAGCATATTTTGTTTTTATACTGTACGGGATTTTGAGAACTATTATTCTTACAAGTGGGAGTTAGGTGGGTTGTTTTAGTTTTTGTGTTTGTGTTGGCTAATTTAGTTTGGGTTAGGCTTTTCGTGTGAGCAATTCTTCTAAATTCATTTTTACTTGTTTGATTCAATTGCTCTAGTTGTTTTCTAGTCTTCAATTATATGATTTATTAATATATTTTATCATTTTGAGCAAAAAAATTCATATCAAGAATTGTCTTATTCATTAGAACCGAAGCTCCCATGTCACTTCGAATTACGCTATATCCAAACTTGAGAAGTAAACTAGTTGTCCCTGCATACAGTAACGTTAAAAAAAAAACCCACAATGTAGAGTTTTGGACACTAGGGAAATTTGAAATAAATTTAGTAGATTATCTAAAAAAAAAAGGAAAGACGGAATTAAACCAATTTGTCATCGACTCAACCTCCACCAGATTTTCAACTATTGTTTTACTTAATATATCATTGAATTTACCCTTTCTTGGGGCAAATATCCTTAATGCTTTCTTCTCTCTTTTTGCATGAATTGGGATCTTATTCCTGGACGTTTGCTGCTCATATCCGATTTAATGCAGTCTACTTAGGTAAACAATTTTGTTCTTAATCACCATGTCTTTCTCTATGTATCAAACTATCAATACATGTTAGGCTTTTGGTGGCCATGTACATTTTATGATAAAATCATTTGTGATTAAATCTTTGTTAAAACCGTGCCATGCAGGTGGATATGACAAGGAAGATAAGGCTGCAAGGGCGTACGATTTGGCTGCGCTCAAATACTGGGGTACAACTGCCACCACCAATTTCCCGGTAATTGCATATTACTCCTTATTCGACTTCAAATTCGCAAAGAATGGATTTTTTTAGTTAAGCGTATGTTTAACCGGAGATGTTCGTTTCAGGTCTCGAATTATACCTCAGAGCTCGAGGAGATGAAGCATGTCACTAAGCAAGAATTCATAGCCTCACTCAGAAGGTTTTTAATTTTATCCTCTCAATCCATTGTGTGATTTAATATTATTAAATAAATCACTGTTTCTAATCGAACTCCAATATATTATTAGGAAGAGTAGCGGTTTCTCAAGGGGGGCATCGATCTATAGGGGTGTCACAAGGTTCGTATTCCTTAATATTTCAACTTTTTGAAAACCTTAACCATATCAAAGACCGTATAATACATGTTAGCTACAACTTGAAACTCCAATATTAATTAACATCGTTTGGTTACGATTTTTACGAACTTCAATAAAGCAGGCATCATCAGCAAGGCCGTTGGCAAGCAAGGATCGGCCGTGTTGCCGGTAACAAAGATCTCTACCTCGGAACATTTGGTAATAATTGCACAAATCAATCCTTAAAAATCTGTATTCTCATACTTAACCAATAAAAAGATTTTACAATTTCTTTTCTTTTGAACAATTCTCAGCCACGGAAGAGGAAGCTGCGGAGGCTTACGACATCGCCGCCATAAAATTCCGCGGCACAAACGCCGTCACAAATTTCGAGATGAGCCGTTACGACGTCGACGCGATCACCCGGAGCCCACTTCCGATTGGCGGCGGGTCGGCCAAGCGCCTCAAGCTCTCCCTCGACGGAAAACCGCCTCTCACCTCCGGCCAAATTCCGGCAGGTGGCAGTGGCGGCACAATCAGCTTTTCCGACGTGCAGTCTGGTGGACTTATCCCGTGTGGAGTTCCGTTCGACTTGGCCGTACCCCCATTCTATCAGCAACATAATAACTACATATTCCACCAACTCGGGCTTGGTGGGCCCGACCCAGTTTCAGCTGGGCCTGGGAATCAGATGCAGGGGCCCGAGTTCTGCATATGGCCCCACCAGTCGTATTAGGAATGAGTTGACTTTTTACTAATTCCTTTTGTTGACCGTAGTTTTTTTTTTTTCTTTTCTTTTTTTTTTTGGTTTTGTGATGCGTTGTGAAACTGATCTCGGATGTTTGGCAATCTAGGTTATGTTAGGATAGAAGCTGGGAATGATGTAAGTAGCTTTTATCACTTGATAGCTTTTCTTTTTGTTTTGTTTTGTTTAGGTGATGTAACGGGACGAGATGAGACGGTATACGGGAGCAGCAGTTGGTTTTGGATTAATTTTCAAATGGTTTTCCATTACATGATAACTGCTGCTCCTGCTAATCAATCAAGTTTTGCTGATTCTCTAAATATAGAAAATCACACAAATTGATGATCTTTTATGAATTTTCATGCGGGTTTTGTATGTTTGGTAGTTTCAAAGTTGAGCAGGAAATTAGATAGTCATGACTAGAATATATTCGATTGAACAAATGAGGAAGTGCTATCCGTGAGAACTCAAAGGCAATTATTTCGAGCAAGCATATATGTGATAGTTCATTACTTCGATGAAGTGCAGACATTTAAATTTGATATTTTTCACTGTTTTTATAATTATTGACATTACTAAGTAGCAGTCAAAACACGGAATGAAAATAAAAGGTTTATTTATATTTAGATTTAGTATCACGTTTGTAATAAAGTAAAATAGTTAGATTTAGTATCACGTTTATAATAACGTAAAATAGAGAACACGAAAATAAAACAGTTCCAAGTACTGACAATAATATAATTTGCCACCCTAAAGTTTACGGATACAGATAGAGAATCCAAGAAAGATGTAAAAGTTTTGTCAAAAGAAAGGAAATAAAAAAGAGCTAGTACGAAAAACCATTCCACGACAACAATCAATCTCTAAACAGGCTCGGATCATCAGCCTAAACGAGCCAATCCATCCCGGGCCTCCTTCAAGTTGGGCTCAATTTTTAGCGCCTCAACAAAAGCATTCCTAGCCTCGTCTCTCAATCCTTTAGTCTCGTAAGATTGGCCCAATAGGCAGAAAGCCTTGGAATTGTCCGGGCTCAACCCGACCGCTTCGACCAGGTCGTCAATTGCCGAGTCGACCCGTCTCCTCCGGTTCAGCTCGATCTGCAGCTCGGCCCGCCTCAACAGAGCATCTCCCTTCTCCCTACCGGACAGCATCTTCACCGCCGGCGGCGATAGAGCCGCGTCCAGTGACTTGAGGGCCGAAGCCTTGTGGCCCATCAGGCTCTGGGCCATGGCCTTCAGGATGTGGGCCGCGGGGTCCCTTGGCTCCAGGGCCAGTGCCTTGTCGGCTTCGCCGGCGGCGGACTTGGCGAGGTTGAGGGCGGAGGATTTGGATTTTGTAGATCGGGCCCGGGACAGGAGCTGGGCGCCCTGTATGAAGTGGCGGTGGGCCTGAGTGTTGGGCTGGGCTTTCGATCGGAGCTTTGAGAAGGCCCGTTTGGGGAGGCTGTGGAGGACGTAGAAGATGGCTAGGGTTAGAATCAGGATGCCCAATTGGAGGAGGATGTGTTGGTCCATTGTTTGGTTGATCGGAGTTCGTGGTTGCGCCGGCGGTGGAAGGAGACGGTGGTGGGTTTGGGTGGAAAGTTGTTGGTATTCGGACCTTTTCAAGTGGGTTGTCTTTGATGATTCGGGTTTTGACCCGATATCTAAGATCCGATTGCAATTGGTTCTAATTCCAGAGAATCAAGCACGACCCTGAAGGCAAAGCTCGATGGGTGAAAGCTTTATTAGAGCATGTAGAATGTATTAGATCTAGTTTGTTTATGTAGCACTTGAATAAATATAAGTCTTGGAGGACATAGATGAAACTATCTAAAATAATCAAAATTCACTTTAATGCAAAAAGACTAAATCTAAAATTCACTTCAATGCAAAAAGACTAAATCTTTACTTAGGTCTAAAATAGACTTAAAGGTAGACTGAGTTTCTTTTTCTTGCTGCCACATCAACAGGATCAGTCCACCTTTACTGGCATCGAAGAATATATTTTGCTAGATTAGGTCTATTTCTTATGTAGCATATAAATTTTTTTGATTAAACCCAAAATTTTTTTGATTAAACCCAAAACATTATGGATGCTAGGATGCTAGGATTTAAACAATGAATTCGTAGGATTGTTAATACAATGATTTCATTTAATTCTAGATTTACATAAATCATTTAGGGGATTTTTTTTTTCTTTTTTTGTTAAGTTAAAATTTTGACTTCACGTTTGAGAGTAACACTTAAAAAAAAGAAGTTGAAAATGACGAATTAAATTACCTATCAAATGTTAATTATATGAAGTGACTTATTTTTTCAAAAATTATTGATCAAGATTAATTAATTTTCAGAGATTATAACAAAATAAATCAGAGCATTGTATGAAGTGAAGTATTATTACATAAAGCAAGAGCATGACTTAAGTTGAAAAAAAGATGCTCAAACATATTTTAAAATATAAAAGAATTGGACAGTTTGGGCAGTTTGGGTAGCTCGGGTAGTCCACACGGGCAGACTTAGGCAACAAGGTATCATCTCCCTATATAAGCGAGTGAGGTATGTCATGAATTACATTACACTCTTTACATACTTTATATATTTCAACATTACACTCTTTACATACTCTATATATTTTTGTAACTTAAATAGAGTTTATACAAAAAGAAAAAATAAAACGTAACAATTATAGGGGAGAAAAGAGCCTATTGAGAAGATTATATAAGAAGAAGATGATATTTTGATGTAAAAATGAAGTGGTAAAGGAGGGTATTTATAGAACAAAAAAATTATTATTTTCTAATTTAGTCCACGAATTGCTGGTTCAAACAGTTCAATCAGATCTTGATCGTTCAATCTCAATGGTTATATCCATCCAACTGTCGATTTGAAAATCTTACCATTGGATCCAGGCCCCCAGTTCTCATTCTGGGCCCAACCTGACCGAAATTGGCAAAACAAATCTTTTTTTAACTTAATATTTTTTTTTTTTAATTTGAAAAACGGTACAAGCCAAAATTGAAACGATTCATTTTTTTTCAAAAGTTGACACAGAATCGGCCCAGTTCACAACCCGTGGTCACCGATCCGGGCCAATTCTGAAATCATTGACCACATGACAGGTTGGGCCGATTTGCCTATTCGGGCCGAAACCGTGGCAATGTCTACTTGTAGCATCACGATAAATCAAAGTCCAACTCTCTCTCTCTCTCTCTCTCTCTCTCTCTCTCTCTCTCACTCGCGAGTGAGACTTTACTTGAAAGTTAATTTTCAACTAAGAGCATCTATGACTATATTTGGTAGTCAAATAAGCTAGCTTATAACTTATTTGGTTACTTTTTAAAATTCATATACTCAAATAGGCTATATTTGGTAAAACTAGCTGATAAGCTAGCTTATATGTAACTTTTGAGCTTATAGTTTATGACTTATAACTGAAAAGTTAACTTAATGATAAAAATGTTTGGTAAAATTAGTTGATAAATTAACTGAAAAAAAAATTTAACTAAGTTATTTGAAAATCTACCTAAGGAAGCTTATGAGATAAGCTCAACCAAACGAAACTTATTTGAATACAGAAAGATTATAAACTAACCAAATAAGTTGTAAGCTAACTTATTTAACTGCCAAACATAGCTAAAGTTATAAGTTTAGATTATCAGCTAATTTAATAAAAAATACCCTATATGTTGTTACCTCACAAGTTGCTAATGCATCCATAAACGCATTATCTTATAATCAACAAGTACATCACAAGTATAAAAGTTTATACATTTTTTTTAAAAAAAATATTCTGTATTAACATTTCATAATTCTTTTCTGAGCTGCCCCTATAACATTATCCCAGATGAATAAACACACAAAAGAAAAGGAACGCGACAATTGTCCAAGCAGAATGCATAGATAGCAAGTCTATCATCAACTGTTTAACCAAGTCGACCCAAACAGAATAAAAGAAAAAGAAAAAGAAAAGATCTTGATTTTCAGAAAAAAAAAAAAATATTTACTCCATTACAAGTTCCATATGACGATTTAAGTCCTTCAAATACGTGGTAGAAGTATAATCCTCCAAGTCACACGATTCCCATACCAAAGCTCTCATCCCCATCGACTTTTGCTTTACGTCAACTGCTTCATTTTCACCTCTCAACAGCTGAACAACCTAAAACCGAGAAAACACGTATTGGTGTAAAAATTCAGGTTTTAGTTTTTTTTAAAGACATCCTTAAGTGGGATGTTAACTTAAGAAGATTAAAAAAAAAAAAAATGCATTGTTTCAGTACCCGTGTCATGTTGGGCCGCAAGTTGGGCAAATGATGTATGCATATTGAAGCCGTAAACATAGCCCTTTTCATTTCTATAATGTCGTAATCTTCACCTAGACGAGGATCCGCCATTTCTTTCACATTGTTTTGCTCGAGATGTGGTTTTGCCTGTAATGACCATCAAATTTTCACATCACAACTTCATTATGCCTTATTTGTTTCTATATTCTATGTAAAAGTCGAAGCTTATGCAAAAACTCCCTCAAAATCACCAACCAGTATTTATATATTCTATATAAAGTCATGTATTTGTGAATCAGCTCACATATTTTACTTCTGCAAGTGGAAAAAGTTTAAAGAACACAATTCATGGACTGTAAATGAAAACATACCCATAACACAAGGCTTTGCCTACTCGAATCAACCGCCCTACGACCTGTGATGAGCTCTAGCAATAGGACTCCAAAAGCAAATACATCTGTCTTCTCGTGTACTATTCCGTGCATGAAATATTCTGGAGCCATATACCTGTTTTTTTCGCACGACATATATAGAAGCACAAATTTATCAATAAGTAAATAATCAAGAAAACTGAAGCCACAAAAGAAAAAAGAAAAAGAAGAAGATGAAATTGCATAATGGAATTACCCAAAAGTTCCTTCAATGGGAGATACAACATGGTGAAGCCATTTCTCAGGTAGCCATTTTGCTAGCCCAAAGTCAGATATCTGCATTAATAAAAATTGGAAACTTAAGATGGAATATTTTTCCTTTTTCCTTTCAAATTATAATTAGAATTCAGAAACCATGGAAATTTATATAACCTGAGGTACATAATTCTCAGACAGTAATATATTCGAGGCAGTTATGTCTCTGTGGATTATTCGCCTTTGGCAATCAGAATGCAGATACTGCAATCCCTCGGCAACCCCAGTTGCCACCTTATATCGTAATTTCCATGCTATGCTCTCTTCAGATACTGAAAACATACGGTGCATAGTGACAAGCCAATCATAAATCAAAACGACTTGTGTAAATAGATTACTAATCCTTCAGTAATCGTCTTAATTATTTCGAACTATCTTAGATGTACAATCCGTTAGTCTTACTTTTTTTACACCTTTATGAGATGAAATTTGGAAAATAGAAACAAGGGCCCTAAGGATATATATAATTTTCAAATATAAAACCGTTCTTTAGTAATTAGGCCAACTCATCCTAAAAAACATCCAATCAATCAAAAAATTCACAGAAAAATGCAGAAAATAAATTGATCCCAAGTTAAAAAAATAAATAATAAAAAAAAAATTCACCATGTAGAACAGTGGCTAGGCTTCCATAGGGAGCGAACTGTAAAACGAGGTGCAATCCACTGTCGGCACTAAAGCCGATTAACTTGGCGGTGTTTAGGTGGTCAATGTGAGCTATAATACCGAGTTCAGCTAAAAAGTCACCCACTCTGTCCTCGTCATTCTTTTGTTCCTTTGTTATCTTCTTCACGGCCACAATTTGGCCGTCCGGCAAGAGGCCTTTGTACACCTCAGCATGTCCACCTTTGCCGATAAGCTTCTCTGTTCAAAATTTTGGAACAGGCATTTTGTCAAACACTTAGCAGACAAACCTTTAAAAAAAATCTAAAATAATATGAAAAGTATTAATAAATGCATTAAATTGGAGTTGGCCACCCAGCCTACAACATTATCAATGTTGTGGGTAGCCAGGTTTGATGAAGAAGCTAAAATGATTTAAGTTCAATGATTGTGACTGCAAAGTGAATTATTCAAATTTCAACCTCAATCAGGGAATGGTAATAAATTTGGCCAACTACTCAATGCTTGACTTAATTTTAGCTGTGATGTCAAACTACAATAGCATGTGAAGCATAAGTACCAGGCGAGTTTGGTTACAAATATATCAGCTCAAAATGAATTTTTTTGGTTAACCATTGTTAATTTAAAAAAAAATATGGTATGGTTAGTTGTTAGTGGAATTTTGAATTTCTATTAAAGCAATATTTAACATAAAATAGTTATAATTAATTTGATATAAAGTAGTTGATATAAAGTAGGAGAGATGATGTGAAATACAGTCACTGTAATTTAATGAATAGTGAATTAAAATTAACGTGACGTGTAAAAATAATTAATTAGTATTATTTAATTATATTAATAATATTGAGAATAGTGAACTTGAGTTAAATAATTAGATTATGAGTATGTATTGAGAAAATTTATAACAACACACACTAAAAGTTGTACTAGATTTTGATCTAAAGTTTATTTCTTGATTTTTAATACAAGACTCAATAATTGGGACCTATTAGGCGAGTTCACAATAAAAAGAATAAGAAAAAAGAAAAGGCTAGTACAGAAAAATGTAGTCAAGATTCAAGAATGTTGCCAGTTTGTAGGGACAAAAGCTAGCAACTACTTTTCTGCTAGCAGTTAAAATCAACACAAATAGATTTACCATTGAGGCCCTTACAGTAAACCAGCCAGACTAGTCTCTATCAAGTATCAAGGGTCTGACCATGATTGTTAGATTTTTATTGAGACTTATCCCCTAATTTATTAAAGACAAAACTATTTTTCTCATTCAACCCTCCCATCAAGTGTTTCACCATGTTTCAAGACAAAAGTTTGGCAAGATAAATTATAATCAAATAGTCAATGGAAAAAAATTGGGCAATACACATGTACCTTAAAAATTGATCAAACAAGGTTCACTATTTAGGTAGTTATTTTTATTTTTATTTTATTTTTTATTTTTATTTTTGGAAAAAACTATTGACTATCGATCTACGTAGCCTTACTACAGCAAGAAAGATATTCAGGAAGTCACATATTTGAGGACAAATATGGCTAAGGTGGGAAAAAAAATCACCCAATATGTAATATTATTTAAGCTATCATTATTATTTTCAATATAAATAATTGTGCAATGTCAGACAAGAAGAGGGTCAGAAAGCTAATGCTGTCCGAAAAGACTGATAGTGATCAATGAGAAAGAAAGCCCTGTACTGAGGTAGTTGACATCTTAGATATTGCAAAACCATAACACTTTATTGAACTTAGCATGCTAAAAAACATTGGCTATATTCAATTGGCGACAAAATAATGCGCCTTTCAACACAAAATAATGTTGCAATTTGATTAATGAAATTGCAAAATAAGTGATTTCATTTCCATGCTTCAACACTCCTAAAGTTTGTGCATGCCATTAGTTCAATAATTCTGTACTCCATCTGCTAGCCTCTTTGTAAAGAACACTCATTTCAGTTTTACAAATGACATCTTCTAATTCCTCCATCAGTGAAACTAATGTTAGCCACCCCTATTTTTTTCATAATCTCAAATAAAATGTCATAATTCTATTCAAATATAACGTTAGCATAAATATAATATGAAGTATAAATATGTATAGTTTATTTTTAAAAAAAATGTATGAGGTATCAATCTGCCCCATACAATTAGGCTAACACATATAAGAATTTGTGTTAGTTAAATAAATAGCGTCCAATTGCTAGCAATAGTTGTAGTGAGGGGTAAATTCGACCCTACCAGTGTTGGCTATGCCTGAATTTTTTACGGTTGGATAATAGAAGCCGATCTAATTTGTACTATAATTAGTTAATTACTTAANAAAATGGGTCAAAACTAAATAAAGCAAAATAAATAAATAATGAACAATATTACCAGGGCTAAAATTGTCAGTTGCCAGCTTGAGTTCCTCGTAGGTGAAATTCCTCCATGAGGGCTTGGGCACCACGGAATCCCCGCAATCTATGGCGTCGGCGGCGCTGCGGTTCCTCCCAAGGAGCTTCCGCCGGAAAGCCTTCCTCGACAAGTCGTAGCCGTAGCCTCCCAGCAACGGTATGGTCGAGAATTTCATGGCCGACCGCCTCTTGATCTGCCCGAACAGCTTCTTCCAGTGCAGGGTCCCGTAGCTCACCTCCCACCCGCCGCCGCCGCCGCCGCCGCCGCCCGATTTCTCGCTCCCGAAGCTGCTGCTCCGCTCCACGCCCTGGTCCGAGTCTGAGCCCGAGCCCGAACTCGAGCCCGTTATCGGGATCTCCAGAACCCCCCTCGGCGACGACCCATCCCCTGTTTTCCCGCACGCTTCATCTTCTTCTTCTTCCCCTTCCCCTGTTTTCTCCTCCTCCGCCGCCGCCGCCGGCGGTAGCTTCTTCCCGGCAGGATTTTCCGGAGAATCGTGTTTTTCCTCTGTAGAATTGACATAAAACAAAGGGTCATGCAATTTTTTTGCGATTGACACGAAAATTCGAATAATAATCGAATCTTTATGTATGAATATGTACATAAAGCATACCTTGCATGGTCATGGAATAGAGGAAAATATGTATGTATATATATGTTCGTGTGTGTAAATGGGATTATTGAAGGAGCAATCAGAAAAGGGCTTCTTATAATTTGGGGGAAAAAATGGATAAAATGAAAAGCTCTTGAGATTTATTTCATAATTGTGACATTTGAGGGTATGTAATAATCTATCTGTGTTCTATCCCAGCCTCATTTGTTTTTTCTCTCCTGTGCTGCAAGAACAGAGGAGAGAAGGAGAGAGAAAACCAGGTAGGAAGAAAATGGTATATCTTCTCAAGGTTGATATTCTTTGAGAAGAGCAAAGGGGAAAACACACACTATAAGCTTTTAATTTGAGGAGAAGCGAATAAAAGCTATATTTATACACAACCCCTTTTAATTCTTCTAATTAGCATTTTGCTATTTAGTGCATTAGTTAATGCTATGTGATGGGGGTATTGTGATGTGTTTGTTTGGCGTAAGGATGAAACGTTGGCCCGTCTCATTGGTTTTGGTTCGCGATTCTTGGCGCAACTAGCGCTTGTACGGACGCCAAAGTGAAGACTGTCACCAACCCAATTAAGTGGGTCGGGTGCATGGGATTTGGGTTACGTTAGGGTGTTTTGGTCATTCTAAAAAATGTGCTGGAGTCTAAGTGATATATCCATCGCATTGGAATTCTATGTGAAAATAATAATAATAATAATTTATGTAAGAATTGGGTGTAAAATGGTGCGGTCCAACGCAAACGAAATGCACTATAAGAGGGAAAGCCCAGATGAAGTCCAAGTGGAATTCCATCCCAAAACTAATTGGTGGAAGGAGGAGTAGCTCATTAGACTTATAAAGTGGGTCTATTTGCCAGGTATAAACGACGTGGGACAACTCACAAGTGATATTCTAACGCGCTCCCTCACTTGTGAATTCTTAATAAAGAACCTAAGCCCATATACATAGTTGGGTGCCCCAAACCCTACTAAAAACCGGCTCTCATAAACAGGTACATGGAAAAAAACGGGTACGTCATCGCATGGTCCCACATAAAACTGGCTCTGATACCACGTAAGAATCGTGGGTAAAACGGGTACGGTCCCACGCAGACGAATCGCACTATGAGAAGGAAAGCTCAGATGAAGCCCAAGTGGGGTTCCATCCCAAAACCAATTGGTGGAAGGAGAAGTAACCTATTTGACTTATAAGGTGAGTCTATTTTCCATGTATAAACGACGTGGGATAACTCACAAGTGATATTCTAACAATTTACACTCAGGCTTAGATACAAAATTAACAGTACTTTTTTATACAAAAATACATGGACTTGGATTACATTATATATATATATATATATATATATATATATATATTATTTACAATAAATTCGTGATTATCCCTTCTTTATTTTCTTTAACAATTGTTATCCTGAACTATTTTACATTTCATTTCTTACATTATTGTTGACGAGAGATCCCCAACGGTTCTTAATCACTGGATTAAAGAGAGATGAATGATGATTAAATAGGGGACCAATATGATTAGTGTTGGTGAAAAATAAAGTATTGTACGAAATATAAGAAAACTAAAGAACACAAGAAATTTGCTAATCTTCTGGGAAATCGACGAGGAGGACTCTTCGAAAATGTGACTAGCAAAGAGGGTTTTTTTGTTATAGTAGTAGTCATGATTTGAGCTAGTGTATGCTCGTATGTTACTAAAACTATTGTGGTATGGTGTTTGCTAATATATATGTGTGTTGCCCTTTTTTCTCTGTCTGTTTTGCTTGCTAAAAATGAGTTTCAGAACCACCTTTATTCAATGAGAAAAATGAGATGTAATTATAGCTATTTGCCACCTTGATGGCTAAGCAAAGGAGGTGTGGTGCCATGCAAAAGTTCACCTTTTGAGGACGAGAGGTATATTATTTAGACCTGCAAGATATGACCAGTTTGGACAGCGGGACGAGACCCTTTGGGCGGCGGTTTCAAGGTCTTCAGCGGCTTTACGAGTTTGTCCTATCAGAGCGCGTTCATAGGCTGTAGAGCGATCGAAGATCATGGGATCGACACTTCTCAATACATGACGATTGGGCGATCAGCAGATCGTCTTCTCATTGTTGGGTCGATCATGTGGAGATCCACTAGTTTTCTTGGGCTTTGCTTAGGTGGTAATGGGTCATGTTCTCGTCTTAATCATATGGGCTTTCTGGGGATACTTTAATAACATACACAACTGTTTGTCCCATTTTTGTGTCTTTATTTCATGTTTATTTTCTTTTTGTTTTCCCCCATTTGTAGGATTTTCGTAGTTTATTTGGTCCATTTCGTCCATTTTGTGTTTTTATCTTTAGTTTATATTTTTGTATCTTTTTGCCATGTTTTGCTTCGTGTTTTTTCTGTATTTGTGTTTTCAGGAGGTAGGTTGTGCCGGTCGAGGATGGAACTGCTTGAGCCGAGACCGTGATATCGAGAATTCCCATTGGCCGAGCCAAGAAAACGACGAAGAGGACCGAAAAACGGACAGAAACAATGCACAGAATGAGTCGCGACTCGCGAATGTGTCGTGCCTCGCGGGGAAAACTGAGGCTATAGAGGATTTCCGAAGAACGAGTCGCGACTCGCGAGATGGAGTCGCGACTCGCGAGTCAAGTCGCGACCAAACCCCAGAATTTAAAGAAAAAGACGACGCGCGACTCGCGAGGAAGTCGCGACTCGCGACCAAGACAAAGACCATCTCGCGACTCGCGACTCAAGTCGCGAGTCGCGACTTAACTGGCGCGAATTTCGAGGACGGGATTTTTACATCAGTTTTTGATCCTAGGGTCTATTTTTTCACATTCAGACTTTGTTTTTACGTTCCCTCTAGAGAAAAACCTATTCTTTTTCTTTCTTTCGCACTTTTGAATTGTTTTGGGAGATTGACAACTCCTATTTCTTGCTTTGGATTTGGATGCACTTGGATTTGACATTGGATTCCTTTCTTTAATCGTAAGTTATTTTTCTCAATCTTTTTGTTGATGATGATGGCTTGGGTTGATTTGAATGTTGATGTTGAAATCCGTATGAGTAGCTAAATCCATTCGCTAGGGATAGGGGATGATTGATTAGGTTCGTATAATTGAGTGCTTTTGGTTGTTCATATCTATTCTAGTTGTGTGAATCATAAGGTTAGTAGATTGATCACCTTTCTAACCTAGGTAATCAACGTGTAGAACCGAGAGGGGAGACGTTGGTAGAATTAGGCTCGTTTAGAATAGATTTGTTCGGAAGCGTATAATCTATGTGTTGTTGGAATTGATAGTTAATCGTTAACGTTCACTCTCTTGTTACAAAGAGTTATTGAGAGGGAACCTCTGAACAAGAAACGATTCAAGACCTTTAACCGAGCAATCGAATGCCGGTGATTGTGTTAGAACCGAAGACAATTATCCCCGATTCCCTAGCACTTTAATCATTCAGTAAATTCATTTGCAATTTTGCTTTCATTTTAAGTTTAAATCAGTAGTTGATAATCAGAACCCAAAAATATTGAATTAGAATGTTTAAGAATTCTTTTTCTCTTTTTCGTGATTGGATATACGCACAAGAGTATCCGGCTAACCTTCCTTGCGATACGACCCGGGGACGAATCTCTCGATTCAACTCCGGTAAAAATACTGACAACAACAACAATGTGCAATTTCGTCAATTTTTAAAATGGTCGACTGTGTTGGATTGGCTTCAAATATTGTCAGAGCAGGATTGCAGTGCAGTTCTTGTTTTATTTGTGGCGATTTAAAAAGAGACATTACGACTTTCTTTGATAGGACAAGGGGCATCTTTTGAGGATGAGTACGTGTACGTCTTTTCAATAACTGACGCTCTCAGTTTAGTTTTGAGGGTTACTCTTTTAGGCCATAAATAAAGGCGTTTTTCGCTCTTCTCTCCTGTCTTCTTAGCTTGTAAATTTTCTGAAATGAGATCTCTAAATTTCTACAAATATAAATCTTTTCACGGGTATTCGATATGTCAAGTAGCTACGACTTTTGAAAAATGAAAGGCCGCAGGCTTATTTTCTCATCGGTCAACCAAGCGTCAAATTCGGAATTCCTCTTCGCAGATTCATTCGCCGCTGATGATTCCCATTCCTATGGCGTCCATTATGAAGGAACTTCATCTCTTGTGAGTCCATTGTCTCCGCCTCTTGGCAAATAGACGTCTGCTCCTAAGGGGGAGACACAACCACCAGCACCACCGTAGTCTCCTCTGGCTTCTCTTGTGCTTAAGATGTTTCTCGCTTATGATATTCCTTAAGCATCTCAGTCAAAAAGGGGAAGAAAAGTTTGTCAAAGCGTAAAGGGGAGACGCAGAAGACCAAGATAAGATCTTTTGAGTGTTTGCTGAATATTTGGTTTTTGTGGCGAGGATGTTTGTCATGTTCTTGATTCTATGGTGTTTTGAATTACTTTGCTGCAGGGTGAAAGAACCTTGCTTGGTTCTTCTTGTGTTAGGATATTACATTTGATGGTCTTATTATTCATTTGAGTTTGGATGATTATCTTTTTGCATGAAATTATTACTTGTGAGCTGTTTTGACTTGTCTTGCACATGAACGTGAACTGATGTTTTTACATGTTAAATCGATCCTTATTTTGATCTTGCTATTTGGTCATAGCTTGTTTTTGTGACTGCATGAAATAGAGTTTTTGAACTGAATGCCAAAGGGGAGATTGTTAGGATTTTGAATTGGCATAATTCGAATATTTCTCTTGTTTATTTGATTATATTCTGTGTAGGTTACTTGGAAAGGAAACAAGACAAAACAAAGGGAAGATTAATTTATTTATATGTTTTTTTTTTTGTTTCAATTACTGAATATTGAGTTAGATTTAATCTGGATTTGTTTCAGTTAGAAAAAAGAAAAAAAAAAACGTTGGCCTATAGGAAGACAATGAGAGGAGATAGACTCATTAAGCCCATTAACATTTGAGACAAAAAGGGAAGCCCGATAGACTCATCACTCATACGGAACCCACAGGTCCCACACTAATTTTCTCATTAATGTATACATCAGTGATAAAAAAATCCTTACATCAGGCTCTGTTTTCTTCTAGAAATTCTTTTCTTCTTTAGAAATTATCTTTCCTTCTTCTTCAAAATTCCCAGATATTCAACTTTTTTCTCAACACGGTGCCGTTGAACTTCATCAGAAATACAGGCGAATTGAAAGTACCTAACAGTAGATATTTCGATTCCGGCGCCGTCGAGCTTTAACCGGAAAATCGTCATCCTGACTTTGAGGTTCGAAGAGAAAATCAGTGACAGAATACGTGGATGGAAGTGGAGGCAGAGGTCGGAGACTCGAAGGCGGAGTTACGAGACGGTGGTCGGCGGACGGGGTGGTAGTGAGCTTCAATTTTTAGGGTTTCTCAGTTTCTGATTTTTGAATGTGGGTGGACGAAATGAAGAGAATTTGCGGAGGAGATGTTGGTTAAACGCT